GATCGCACAAAAGAAGGCTTCCTAGTACCTCGTCGTCAGTAACATTGTGCTTGTTGGAAACTAGCGGCGTGGAAATGATTGTCCTTGGCCCTTTCACGACTGCTCTTTCAAAGCTACTCTTTAAGCGACGGGTATCGGCTGATAGCGTGGGGCGTAGTTTGGGGATCCGACGAAACTGTTTTAGACCAATGATCTACTACTTGCTCAGGTTGTCCTCGCAATAATCAGAGTCTGATTCTTTCTTCACTATCGCCGTTCCCTACTCCAGAAGATTGCTTCTGTATGCATCTCTTCAACTGGAGAAACTGTCGCTGAAGCCAGAATCGTATTCCGGCCGCCTTCATTCCTCGACATCTCGGGCTATCTTCCGAGCTGCTCGGGTCTCGGGGCGTAATGCCCGACGTCCAGAGACTTTTCTCTCCTTAGTCCCAGAGCCGACATGCTATTCCGCTATCTCCGCTTTGTTCTGTTCCGTAGAGCAAGGATCGTCTAGGCTGGCACAGATACTTTAGTACCCATGACTCGCATTTTATCTGAGATCAATCACTCGGCCGACACGGTGATAATGGTCGTGATATTCAATAAAACAAGCGGTAGGGACCATATCCCACGACACTCCCTTTCTTCTACCTCCACCATGCTGGGGCTACCACTTCTTCTACTAACAGCAATACTTATTCTGCATCGAGTTCTGAGATTCTTGGTGTTATTGAGGGTGAGATGTTGTGCTAATACGCGGTGAAGTGGCTTCTGATTAGAATTGATAGCGTCATAAAAATACGAAGGGGTATAGAGTATTGTTCGACCCGTATTCGTTTCCGGGAAATGCTATCCCGACGAGCTGGTGGAACTTGGGCTTCAGATGGACTTGGATCTATCGACATACAGGTATGTACTGACATCATCAGCGAGGTTCATCATACTGAATGACATCAATAAGCGCACTTCGAGCACGCATATGATTTGACCACGATAATACCCATTTTCGGGGATCTTTATTACGTTGGAGCGTCTATCGATATTGCCAAGCAGATCTGGGGCAACGAGTTGAAGACGAATCTGGCGAAGCCACAAGACTTCACTACCGAAGGGTGCGGAATGACTGGGTGAATGATCTCGTCACTCACTTATCTTTCTGTCGTGTAGAATATTTGGAAGCAGCATCGCTTCAGCTCAGGGTGCCGACTGGAGCAGGCATCGTCGAGCTGTTGCCCCTTCATTCAACACTGCAATGTACGTTATGAACCGTGCGATGGATAAGCGCTGACCGCTGGTTATGTAGGTACTCCAGAATAGTCGAGGAATCAGGCGTGGTATACCGCGATATGGTTTCCAAGGAGGCATGGGAGGAGAAGAATAACGTTGTAGTAGCCGATCTGGACAGGATACTTCACAGAGTAAGCTCAAGAGCCGCAGAATTCCCCAACTGATTCTAACTGAGAACCAGTTCGCGTTAGTTATGATATGCCGCTGCGGGTTTGGAATGCCGGTAGAGTGGACGCAAGGAAGAGACCACTCCGAACTCTCCACTTTGATCGCGAACTTTCTGTGGCTGCACGAACGATTATCTTTCGCCTCATACTTCCAGACTGGGTCTGGAAATTGCCTATCCAAAGGTGAAGACATCTCTTGTCCTTCTCTGAGAACCTGTCGCTAAGAATTTGCGGGTTGCCAGTCTTCGTTCTATCATGCAGTCATGGAAAAATGTGCTATCCCTCATGACTAGTATCGCCGCCAGAAGACAGACTGAGTTTTCACTCGAAAAGAATTTTGGTGATGGGAATATAACGGACCTGTTAACGAAGCTGGTTTCGGCAACTGATGGCGCGAACAAATACGCGCTGGAACCTGTGGAAGTAGTGAGTATATCTTTCATCTTCTGCTACTAGGAAGTTCTTAATTCTGGAAAAAACAGACGGCAAACATGATGTCGCTCCTTTTTGCCGGAAACGGTGCGTGTATGTTACATCTCTTGATAACAGCTCTTGATAGCAGTATTTGATGTCCGGCGACGATTGTGGAAACTACGAGCAGTGCCCTATTGTCAACGATCACCCTTTTAGCTCTGCACCCCGGCGAGCAAGAGAAGGCATATCAAGAAATCCTACGTGAAGCCCCATGCAAGGACAGCCTGGTACGTGATTTCTGCGTTATTGGATCCTTACCCTTATGTATTACTTCAAAGAGCTTGAGTATTATCAATAATCTCAAATATCTTTTCGCGTGTTACAATGAAGCTCATCGACTAGTCCGTGCGTGTTCATGACTGTAAAAATTATTACTTACACTAATACTAACGTCGAGTTTTTAGCTGTTACAATAAACCTACCCAGAGTGACCACGGAAGACACGCCTATCCACAGCTCTCGGCCAGTTGGAAGGGATTTGATCATTCCCAAGGGCTCTCGTATCATCATCGACATTGTGTCTGTCCGTGAGTTTATTCCTGTCCGTCTCGACTTGCGGCAAGCTGATCCCCTCGATTAAAGTTCACAATCCACACGACTTCCCCGAACCAGAGAAATACATCCCGTCGAGGTGGTACAATGCCACAGAGCATGATTTCCTCATGTTCGGCTTTGGGCCTAGGGCCTGCGTAGGCAGGAAATTCGCTCAGACCGAGGTTGTCTGTTTCCTTGCGCATTTCCTCAGGGACTGGAAGGTCGAGGTTGTCCTGGAAGATGGAGAGACAACGACACAAGTATGGGATAGGATTGCGGCAGACGCTACGCTGCGTGGAACTGCGTTTTCCCTGGGATCTGTGCCAATCAAATTTATCGCAAGAGACTCGAATTAGTGTATTGACGCGTCTTTTGTGTACGTGACGGATTTTGAAGATAACCGCTCTGGTCAAAACGATTTTTCTTTCTTTCTTGAGCTCGAGAGTTGGCTCTTGAGTCGTGAGACTTTCAGAAGCTTGAAGCTTCGATGCTGACTAAGCCTCCAGTCGGTGTCTCGGTACCGCGGCTGTGCATCTCCCAAACACATCCAAACTTTCACGCCGCGTCAACGCGATTAATCTGGATTTACTTTTTTGCCATCATGGGCGACGAGACAGCAGGGTCCACCTCTTCCTCCTCCCAGCGAAACAGCATTACCAACGCGAACATGGGTTCACAGTCTTCTCGAGGACCAACTTCAGGGCCATCTGGTGAGATTACGGCATTTTGGTGCTGCTGTCCAATAATTGGATCATTCATTAATCACCTTTTTACTTAGGCACACAAGGAACATCACAAGGGACGTCTACTGCTCCTGCACTCAAACAGAATGAAACTGGTATACTTGACGCACTCATACGTGTACTAACTCACCACTCGGCAGCTTTGTCGCATACAAGCACCCCATTAAAATCACCGCAGAACTTGAAGGTAGCTTCAGCAACTCCCACAGCTGCGAGACCGTTCCCCATGTCGCCGCCTTCCCAGTCAGTGATGCTGGAGCAGGATGAGTTGGACCTTCCTCCCGCTATCGACAGCGATGACGACGAACTGCCGTCAGTATCGCAGCTGTCGCAACGATTGGCATACACGCAGCCTAGTTACACCGGGCTTAAGGGCAAATACACCGGCAGAATTATAGTACGTAGTGCGCTTATTACTTGGTGCGATTCGCGTGCTGATGCCATTCATAGGAATCGAACATCCAAACCTCGTTTCCCTCCACGCCCCGACGTATGCAGTCGTCCCAAAGATCGCCCACCAAAGCCCCACTTACTCCTTTGCCGCGTGATATCATTTCTATTTGCTCTACACCTGCTAGTACGCCCAAAAATCACAGTCAGACCAATGGATCCCAGAAGCGCAAGCAAGACGACAACGATCGTAGTTTCACCGCATCTGAACAGCCTGCGAAGCGGCATAAAATCAAAGCTGCCAGGCGACCCACTTCGCATAAACACCATGATCATTGGGAGCTTGACGGGAACGTCGTCATCAGGATTAAGAAGACGCTTTTCAGAGTGCATCGGGGCGTGGCGAAGCATAGCAAGTGGCTCTCCAAACGGCTTGAGGAAGAGCCGGATGGGTTTGATGGAAAGGATCCAGTGTTCGATGTAGAAGAGGATAAGAAGGTCACGGTGAAAGATTTCGAGGCTCTCTTGGACGCGATGGATACTGCTATGTGCGTCTTCTTGCCTTTGTTCTGTTTCGTTGCTGACATCTCTTAGCACCTACTTCTATAACCCTCCCAACTTTTTGACCGTCGCGTCCATTTTTCGCGCCTCCAAAGCACTCTCCTTCGATCGCTTCCTAGACTGGTCAACACGCTACCTCGAAGATATGTGGCCTTCCTCCTTATGCGAAGTGAGCCTTGACCCAATCAACTATGCCTCCGACACTGTCATCCTCGCGCGTGAGTGGGGCCTCAAGAGCATCCGCAAAAGAGCGCTGTACGAGCTCGTGCGGCTCGCTGGGTTCGGCCAGGACTATGATTCGGATGAGGAGTCCGACCACAGCAGCAGTGCGATCTCTTCGTCCGACTACAGGCTCCTAGTCCGCGCTCGGGAGATGCTCACCTCCGCGTGGACCACCCGGATTGCTACAGCGACTTTTGGAGTTGAGGCCAAGTGTGTTGGGGGTGTGGAGGGGTGTACGGCTGCAGACCCGGGTTTGGTGGCCTCGAGGCATCAGGAAATGGTTGTTGCTTCGGGGCTGTTCGAGACATATTTGAGGGACCCGGTTTGTGGGACTGAGGCGCTGATGGAGCTGGATTGGGGGAAGGCGGGGTATTGTGAGGCGTGTGTGGAGCAGAGGAGGGTGGTGTGGGGGAAGGCGAGGGAGAGGATGTGGGAGGATTTGGATATGTGGTTGGGCTTGGGTAAGTGCTGATGTCGGTGGGCGGTGGGGGGGTAATTGTTATATTCGTAGGTTTAGACGTAGTGTATATTGTTAGAGTCTCGTTTTATTACTATAGTACGGTGTGGAGAATTACTACTATGAATGCAGTGTAGTGCTGTAGGATAGAACGTATCTGAGCATATAAGTCATACAGATAATGTCTCCCTCTTAGCTCAGTTGGTAGAGCGCGTCACTAGTATTGGGCTGTGTTCAGCTTCTATGACGAGGTCAGTCGTTCAAGTCGGCTAGAGGGAATTTTTGTTGTTGTTTTACTTTTCCTCAGCTTGGCATTGTACGTGCATTGTGGACTCTGGAGACATTGATGGTTTGGTCCTCGGAGTCTGGTCATTAGGGCACGAAACCTCTTAGGGTCAGTTTTGGAATTTTACGGACCCCTCATCAAGGCGGTGCTTTTTGATTCGGTGATTTACATGTATGAAGTCGCTGTCCTTGTATATATATCAAAGACCGGAATGTGGAGAGTACTGCCTCCCACAAAATGTGTTAATTCGAAAATCAGAGCCTACTTATGTGGCCTAGTCAACCCAAGGAGATATATCTTTACTTTTCAAACTGGTGGTTTCTTTCGACGCATCACAGCTCCATCTCCTCCGTTGATATTCCCGACCGAACGTTCCTATGTGAACCTCAGGATCAACCCACTCTGGGAAGCCAAGTCCGTTATCCGTAGCGCATACATACATTCCTCTTTGACAGCGTCTAAATTTTCTTTTGTATGCTTCGAGATCAGAAGTTATTTATACGTCCCTATCATAGATGGATCTTTCATTAGCGCCGATTCCGTTACGCGTCCGCGTCCTACCCAGTAACACGTCTCGGAGAGTGACGCATTCGGACAGAAGCCACGCCACAAGCTGCGGTCCGGAGTCCGAGATCGCTGTCTATCGTCCGCGGAGAGGCTGACCTCGCTGAACAGGGACACATGCGGATTGGCCATCCTGAACCCTGTGTCGACATCCTAGAGGTACTGAACAGCCTACTGTGGAGCGGTGGCGCCCCAGGCTAGATCGTGGCTAGATCTGCAAGTGTGTGTGGGTATGTGGGTTATCTAGCTCAGAAAAGGTCTAGGTCGGCTAGGCTCCCAAAGTGGTGTCACTCGAGGAGCGCCTCCGACAGCGACGACGATACGGGGCCACGCCCACGGACCCACCAACCCTTAGTCACCCAACCCCACGTCAGCGTCATTTGACCTATCCCCAGCTAACACGTGAAATCAGGTATTTCATAAGAGAGGTCTCGTTTGTTATTATATTAGCCCTCCTGCAGCACAAGGTGTTCTTTGTCTTCCCCTTCCCCCCTCTCGCATCCATTCCACACCACACCACACCACAATAAAAGAACAATAATGCTGAGACCACCTCCACCGCCTATCCACCTTCCCTTCCACTTTGAGCCACACAATAATGCGAATGGCCGTTATTACGAGGATGATGAAGGTTGGTTGCATTGCGCTTTTTTTTGAGTACCCACGCTGACGATTTGGATGCCCCGTCCTCGCCCCTCTCCGCTGTTTATCCTCCCGTCTATAGATGAGACGCCTGAGTATAGGTTGAACCTGGGTGCTGAGACCCCGGGGGAGATGACGCCTTCGATTTCGTCGTATGCCTTCGCGTGGGAGAGGCCGGGCTCGAGGACCCCCGTGCGCAGGAGGTCGCTGTCGAGCTTGCGGAGGAGCAGCAAGCCGAGGAGGGATGTCGTAGACAGGGACTGTGGGATCTGGTGTGTCTCCTCGTTGCGTTTCTGCCACTATTGGATGTCTGACTCCTCGCCCTCTAGCTTCGAAAGCGCGGTAGTCCCCTGTCGGACCCTGTGCTGTTCAAAACTGTTCTGCTTAGAGCACATCGCTGACGTACGTGCATCTCGCCTTTACTGTCTTCATGTACTCATCCCTCGTTCAGTGGCTGCACGGTTCGCGGTCAGACGGACGCTGCCCCTCATGCAAAACCCGTTGTACGCTCAAAAAGGATACCATCCTCCTCCCCGTGCCGCATCTGCACTCCCCTATACCCCCCACCCCGCCCCCGAGTCTCCGTCTTCGTCCTAGGAGCCCGTCCACATCCGGATCTGAGACCTCGGATGTGGGATCGGAGGAGAGCGAGGACTCCTCCGACGCGGACCACGGCTACCACACTGATACCCTCGATCTGTCGGGGACCAAGGTCGCTAGCAAGATCCTCAGTATCGTGGGATTGACGCTCGTTTTCTACGTATTGTTGACGTGATTTCCCATCTACCACACACGCACTACACACCCCTCTCACTAGTCATGGCATTGGTTTTTTCATCCTTCTAATTGTTGTTTTTGGTATAACTCCTGTTTGTTTTTCTCTGTCACTTGTCGCATCGTGTAATAATACCAAGGGGAATGAGCATATGTACGCATACAGCATGACCTCCCGGGACATCACTTGAGCAAGTCGCTGGCCCTATCACCGGCGAACACATATCGATTAACATCAGATGGTCTGCTGGCAAAGACACACACAGATATCGAGAAGCACGAATTCTCTTGGCGTAGCTTCCATGCTGGGACGAGCAACGTTAATCAGAGCAGCAGACCGGAGGTTGCTGATCCACCCATCAGCACATGTCCAGATGCTGCAAACACTGAAATAGCAACCCCCGCCCGAAAACGCAGACGAGAAGGCAGTACCTTCGTAAGATGGCAGCGTCTAGTTGATGTTGAGAAATAGGAATGGTGCCGAGTGAGACTACTTGGAGGGTTGCGCAGTTGGTGTGATAAGAAGAAGCACAGAAGCGGGACCTGGGTAGGGGTGCTTTGTGAAGATTGCTTCGTGTGAAGGGCCCCGGCAGGCAATCCTCGGACTCGGACCCGGACTCGAAGGGGAAGGAGCTCGGGAAGGGGAACGGGGAACAGGGGTCGTCAATTTAGACTCGGGCTGGAGAGCCATGGAAGTTAATCAATCAAAGATGGATGGGCGTCTACGCGAGTCCGGTTGGCAGCAGGAATGCTTGGGCAGTGGTCAGTGGGCTGTGAGGGAGAGCGGGCTCTTCCAAGTTGCGGGCTTTGTCGAATAGGAAGCTATGAATCATGTTTTTGACGTGGCTTTGCGTAACTCCAGTGTCATTTCCGAGGGAGGACGTTTAGCCAACATCGCGATAGCGACATGAACCCAACAGATCCATATGTATACCCGGTCATTAAGTCTCGGGGACTGGATTGAGTCTGGCCTTCGCTGTGCAAGGCATGATAGCCCACCGGAGGGCCGCGCCAACTCGACCCATCCACAATCCAGCGAATGATTATCGATTAAGTCAAGACCTTGGCCTAGAATCCCGTTCGTGTTACGTTGTTCGTTGGAGCCTTGCTCTGATCGAAAGTGAGTTCCGGTGCTGTTGAGACCTAGTTAACGGGTATACCGTATACCTGACATGAACGGGGGTGACAACAACAGCGGGAGGAAGGAAAGAGAGATGATGACTGAGCGGGCCCCTGAGATGGTGCGCGTCGTGATAATTGTTGTTCCGATGACTCAAAATCAGTATACAAGCCCGAGAGTTCTATTTTTGGCACTTTCCTCGGGCTGCACTCCTTGATGAAATCTGGAGGATCAAGTATAGATCCTGTGCCAGCAAGTAAGCGGGCCCCTGAGATATTGCGCGCCGTGATAGTTGTTACTCCGATGACGAAATGTCGAGTATGCAAGCAGTTCCGGTCGTCGGCCTTCTCATCAAATAACGTCACGCGGGAATTCCAAAAACGCATCCTATCAGAACCTGATCTTCATATGCATACCTATATAAAAACGATATTTCGTCATGGCAAATCGCCATTTGATTGCTGTCGAAATTCAAATGCTGCGCAGAAAACAAGCTTCTTCAGGGTTGAAGCTGACCTGTAAGAGTGTACGTGAGGACTCAGAATGGTGATATGCCAAAGACGCGCCGCTACGGTCGGGAAAGATCAGTATGGACAAGGAGAACTGGATACTTCTTCTTTTGATGGGCAAACAAATCGTCATATGATTGCTGTCAAAATTCAAATGCTGCGCAGAAACAAGCTTCTTCAGGGCTGAGGCTGACCTGTAAGAGTGTACGTGAGGACTCAGAATAGCGATACATATACCAAAGCCGTGCTGCTACGATCGGGAAAGATCAGTATACGTAGATGAGGAGACCTGGATACTTCCACTTGATAGACAAAAGAAATGTAGCTGACGCTTGAGGTTCTCCAGTCCTTCATCTTAGTCTTGATTATCAAACAATGGCCTTTGAATTTATGAGCATGAGAACAGTGTTGCTGTCAAAAGTAATAAGAATCAATCAAATTCCGTGAGCACATATCGCACTGGTAACCTCCCTTGGAGAGACTAAGACGGGTTGCTTATCTTCATATGACCGACACCGCCGCCAATAGAGCCGAGAAAGCGGCGTGATAGGAATACCCTCTTCCATCGCCCAAAGAGCAACTGTAACAGTACTGAGCCTGAGGGAAACAGTCCTGATGAGCGATCCTTGCCCTGTCATCGGGGAAAACAATTACTTTTCTCTATGGTAATCCAATAATCTCTCTTGTACAGGGAACTTGCTCTGTGGCTTGCAAACAGTCCTGGTCAGGAACGAGTTCTCGCTCTGAATAGGTGCACCTACCCAAGATTCCCGACCCTCTTCCCCATCATCCATCCATTCACAAATAGATACACCCGATACAGTTGTCCTAGAAGTTCATCGAATACAAATGAAATATGCACGTCATAGCCCGCCGGTATGTCTGCAAGCCCATGTTGTCCTATGAAGCGATCGACATCAGCTGAACAATCATAGTGTATTTTAACCAGGAATCAGGAATGAATGTCCCTTCAGGAAACACGAAGACGTCGTCCATTTCTTCCAAAATATTGAGCATGTTTGTTGAACTAAGGACACGAAATTTGAGAGACTAAGAAAAAGGGATATGGAATCGCGCACTTTTTGTACGATGTATTCAAACACACGTCGAGGCAGATGCTCGGACTTGGACTCGAAGGGGAAGGAGGTCGGGAACGGGAACGGGGAACGGGTCGTCAATTCAGACTGTAGAACATGGAAGTTGGAACAACCAATCAAAGATGGGCGTCTACAGAAGCCGGTTGGCAGCAAGAATGCTTGTTACTTGTTACTTGTTAATGAGAGCGGTCTTTTCCAAGTTGCGAACCTTGTGGAATAGGAAGCTATGAATCATGTTCTTGACATGACTTTTCGTAACCCCAGCGTCATTTGTAAAATAGGAAGGA